GGGTAACCGACAAGTAAATTAGAAATACGGTTATATTGATTATTATATTAAACATTACCAAGGTTTAATTGCCTCATTAGTTTTTATTTGGAAACAATTTGTTCCGCACGTCTGCGCTTGCGCAGATACGACATAGTTTTTGATTGCTTGCTTGTTCACCTTGGCTGGTTTGTGGTCTATTTAACATAACTTTTTTGTCTTAATTTTGTTTTACTTATTATCCACGACTAAGGCAGTTTCAACATACACCAACGCAATTTTTAGACTGTTTGCAAGACGCGTGTAAGCTTTTACGTTAAGTATTCACTACCACCAGGTAACAGTACTCGTAGTCATCTCTAAGCTGTAATCTCGCTGTAAAGTCGATCTATGAAAAGTATCGATTGTAGCGAGGGGATTTTTTTTGGAAAACGTATTTATAGTGTGTTTGTAGGGGCATGACTAACTCGGTGAAAAGCAACGAAAGAATTGCTTAACCTTGTGTTTCCTGTAAGGCCGTTGTATCATTCTGGTCGAACTGGCCCAAACGTGTTGAAGCATGGCTCTTCCACAGCATCATAGCTCTCCCACGCAAGAGACAAGAATTAATTGTTTTGTTTTACTTTCTCGGTGGGTCCTCCTTAGCTCGGGTTACAGTTACTCGAGTTTGACCTAATCCTGCTATTGCTTCCACTTCACAGTCCACCCGTATTAAAAATATTCCATCCCCATTACAGACTGGCTCGGTGGTGCAGTGGTAGCGTGTGCAACTGTTGTGTTGAGGTCTCGAGTTCAATTCCCGGGTCGGACCAAATGTTTGTATGATCTGCAAATATTTGTTTCGGAGTTTGGGTGTTTTCTATGTATTTACAAAAAAAATGTATATAAGTATTCTATCAGTCAATCTAGCTTTATTATTGCAACTACTAGATGGCGTTGCGTGTTATTATTATAAATTGTTGATATTAGATAGGTTATTGGTGAATCATCCGTTAGGGATCACTACATTTATTTATAGGCAAATTTGCAGTTGGTAGAATAAATGGGAACAAAACATAGTAATAGAAATACATGGCAGTTCCAATTGCTACAAAATACAGTTTATTTTGTAAGAGAGTGGCGGGTTAATGCTAATAGAAGGCTTTTAACCAGTGTAACTTAATTTCTACCTTTTAAAATATTAATCATATTTCTTTTGTCAAAAAGTAATCTACCTCTACAATTTGTAGCAGGTGTCGATATCTACGACCCTTTTTATGATTTGATTCCAGACTTGAAATTGTACAAAATCACATTAAGTTTTAGAAATAATTAATCTGTTGTCTGAACGTGTACCTTACAAATAAAACATCAATTTAATACACAAAGCAATGTTTAAGCATTCAGTGATCCTACCCACTTTTAAGATGAGAGAAGCATGTACTTAAAAATCACATTTCAAAAGCAAAGCATTAGAAAACTCCGTTGAAAACCTACCCATGGCTTTCCTTAAAGTCCGGACCTTACATTTTATTGCCGCAACACTCCCGTTCTCCCTAAAAAGTACAGCGCAGCTATAGTAAGTAATACTATCAACGAGGTACTCGTAATTCAAGCGCAATTCTCTACAAAATGTTTGAAGGCGTTTCGCCTCTGGTCCGGACAGATTGGTATTCTTCCCTAGCTCTTTCACGCATAATAAATTTAATCCGGGGATTGCATCCGTTAATCTCATTATTCTTGTACATACGTATAGAGAGAATGAATGTTCTTGGAATAAACAGTGGTTTATCTTCATGTAGGTGTCACTTGTATGTAAATATAAATAAAAGGAATACATAAATAAATAAATATAGGGTGAAAATATGTTACAATAGAAACTTTCTCGGGATGTATTCATATTTATTAAGAATGTAGGGTTTTATTCAGGTGTGTATTTCGGGCATTTTCTATCAGTTTTGGACCGGATGGTATTTATATGGATTATATTGACTTTATCAAGAAGTTAAGTGCTGACGCTTCACATAAAAGACTGACATCCCTGAAATACAAAAATAAAATAAAAAAAATTTAACAATATTCTATTTTATTTATTTTATAATATTGTCTTTGAAAAAGCAATATGGACGTACCCGAAATACAACTGTATATTCTTAACAAATAGAAAATATATTTCAGCGACCTAAAATATATTATATTTTGTACACTACATTACGTGTGTTACATACACATGTGTACATACAATGTACATTATTTATGTGTACACACAAATATATCCAACATTTGGTTAATAGCATTTTACCATTTGTTAAAATACTTCTTGTATTTTGATAAGTCTAGGACACAAATGTAAATTTATATTTGTTATATAAGTATATAGATCACGACGGCGCCTAGGACGGAGTAACCGTATGTTACATTTTGTGATTGTAACATGCATAAGAAACGAGGTCTCTTAACCTGTGAAAAACGTTCCTTTCATTGATTTAATTAACAATCGACTGAGTCTTAAAATCAATAAAATATATTGGGTCGCAGAGGAGTTGTTGTTGCGTGCTCGACTGTAAAAACACAAGCTTGAAACTGTGGATTAGCATGTTAGCAGGAGTTATTTTAGTTTTTATTATCCCATAACGCGTTCTCGTTATCGCTCTTTACTATAACTCCTAGAAAATCAGGCTTAAAGATAATTGATAAATCAACGGTACACATCAGACTACTTAAGACTGTAAAAAAAGAAAATAATTCATTCAATTTCAAACCTTATGTAGAATATCTAAAATTAATTATACGCAAATGAAGACAATGTATTTAAACTCCAATATATCATGTTTGTAATATAGTGAATTGTAAATTCTGTACTCAGCTGATATTTGGGTTCATGTACATTGGATAATAATTTGCGAGGCACAAGCACGGCCTTAATAAATTTAATTTTAAACAGTTGTACACTTTGGGAGTAATATAATATATATTTTGTGTTGGTGTGCCCTTGTGAATAGAATGAACTATATATATTTTAATTATAAGTCTGTAATCAATTTCACTTGCGATTCTTTTGCAGAAAGTTTATTTTATGTAAAACATATTAAATTTTTGCAAGACTGTTACGTATTTTCGTTAACTCTCAGTCTGATCTTAACTCCGAACGCAAATTGGTGTCACAACCGCCATGCTTGGACTAGATACAACAGGGAATTAAAGTATTTAAATATAGTAGTTTAGTGATATACCTATGACTTTTCAATTGAAAGGCACTAAACCAGGTGACCCTCGTTTGCAAGCTACAATTTAAAATGAAACCGTGAAAAGAGTTCTTAATGCACACAAGCCCAAATATCGTTTAAACACCAGTTAATATACTTTCGTTCCGCACTTTTGTCCATCGTTCAACAAAATTAAGCCAAAACGTCCACATAATTACATGACTTGCAATATCCATTTACTTGTTTTACTCCTTTACCACGGATGCCTTTAACCCTCTCATTAGCGAAACCAAAATAAAGGTTGCAATATAAAAGAATGAGTCAGCATATCGACACCCCATTCATCACGGAATACAGCATTTTGGCGCGGCATCATGCCGGGGGTTGAAAATACGCAAATTGATCTCACCCACTTAGCGGGAATAGAAACTTGTCGATACTCAAAAATAATATTTGATGGCGTTTCTGATAGACGTTTTTGTGGCTGTATATACACTTTGGATATGTATTATTGATGCATTACTTGTTGATACATGACTGGCAAACAACGAGGACAACAGCACTGCAAAGAGAAGGAATACTTGACACAAACCTCATACCAACCTGAATCATACCAACCAACTAAAACCTGCTTTCTGAGGAGAGCCCTATGTCCAGCAGTGGACTATTAAAGGCTGTTGATGGTGATAATGACTAGTTGATGTCCGTCTACTTCGACCAAAGTCTCAGTTCCCTCATCCGAGACTCGCGGTATCAGATAGTTCCTTCGCCCTATCTGGTTTTCTTTTCCATACTGCATTCTTCTTCCCGTCAGAAAGCGACTACATTCTGAAAGAGATTTGTTATCAAGCTGGAGGCCAGGCTTAAAAGAAACGAGCCAAAACCCTGTGAAATGTCACACGATACGCTGACCCCAAATAAAACTGGAAAAAATGCAGGAATTCGATGATTTTAGTATATGTATAAAGATATTATTTGGAAAAAATTGTTCTAAGAAAGCCTAAGTAGGTAAGTTGTTCTGTAAAAAAAACTTTACCTTTGGCAGGTAAAAATAACGTACCAAAAGCGTATATTTTTCTTGAGTAAGAGCGAATGAATAGAATGTATTATTAATAAGTTGAAGTAAATAACATTGATGTCAGCAGTAATGGCTTCTTTTTATTCAAGTTCGCCGAATTTCTTACCTTGATTTTAGTAACTATATAATACTTTGTCGTGGGGACTGTTTCATTTCCATGAAATGCTTCTAAAAGTATTTTCTATGTATCCATTAAAAAATTTACAAGTAATTTGTGAAGAGTTAAAGTGTTATTTTCAGCTGATTTCAGAAAAGAGGTTCTTCATTATGAATATGTTTTTATTTTGGCACTAAATATCTTTGTCATCTGTGGATCGATTTTTATAAATCTTTTTTGATTGAACAGGTTACACTCGGGTGGTTAATTTACAAAATAATAATAGAAAGTTAAGGAATGATGAATGCAGGTTGTTAGATTATTTTTATCGTAATTTTGTGCTCATCGAAGTCAGTAACACCGGTGTTATTATTTGTCTGAGCATGTTAATAACGTTTACTTGTCAATAAAAATATTTTTTAGGAAGTTTTTTGAGTTATTATTACGTAAAATAAAATCTTATAAAACTTATACCTTCTATGTTATGCTGATTATATCTTACACTTTTTATAGCGATGAAGTCGCGGCTTAAAAATCTGAGTAATCGAAGAAAACCACTCAATTTACAAGATTTTTTTTTGTGTTTACTTACGATATCCATCTGAACATACATCTAACCGGTCATTTTTTGTTATTTCCAGATCCATATGCCACGATTGAAATGAGACGAAGAACAGGCCAACGGATATGTGTGGTGATTAATTTTATTTATATTACTGTAACTGTAGTGTTTGAACTTTAATTCGTTTAGTCATTTCCAGTAGACATTTTTAGGACGACGATGTCGATGAAATTATGAAATCGAATTTAGGTGTTAGTAACAATAACTTTAGTTTTGTTAACTGAGTTGTTAGTATGATATAAGCATATGTTGCGTCCAGAACAAGAAAGAGACATAGAGATAGATCACAGATTGATGATTGTACAATATCAAATATTGGATTCGCCATAGGCTTGGGCATACAGCAACCTACAAATAGGTTAAAGATTTTTCATAGACCAATTCAAAAATTTGTTTCGAAGTTACTTAAATAAATTTAATACTTTATAAGCATGCATACCCCTACTATCTCCTCGATACGCCCATTGCCTCAGGTAACACAGAAAATGTGTTGTAATTTGAGATTAATATCTTTAGAAGCAGTGAGTAAAGATTTCACATTAATCGCTTAGAAATATCTACGTACTATTATTTCGAGAGAAGCAATGTATTGACGTTTGTAACTCCATGACGCCTTAAAGAGATTTGTATGTATTTGGCATATTGTATCCTGAACACACCAAAGTTAACGGAACAACTTAGTTTCATCATGAACTTTCATTTGTCAAATTTATTAAGTAGAGACTTATTTATCATCATCATCATCTATTTCGTGCCCTGTACCATCCTGTACCCCATCTTGATGAGAGTCATCGCAACAGCGTCATTTATGCCCGCCGCCTGCTGACAGCAAACCTCCTTAGGAATATAATCGTTTCTTGAAGAACAATAAATTCATATACGTAGAACACTGATTTCATGGTTTTCAATATATTGTGGATATATTATTTATGTATGTATACGTATGTGTGTGTATGTATAGTTATATATTTACACTACTGTAGCTTCAATACACCTAGTACCCATTGTTTCTTCTTATTTACTGTCGATTTGACCATCTAAAGTTTGCCCGTAAGAGATTGCTTTTATTGATAAGGCCGCCCATTGTACATATCTGTTTGTAATATCTATCTAACATATTGTAATTGGTGTACAATAAAGAATATTCTATTCTATTCTATAATTGTCTTATATTGATATTGAATTAAGAATACAGTGTGTCACCACCCCAATTCATGCCGTGGGTGTCGTAAAAGCCGAATAAGGGAGCAAACTACGCAAGACAACAGCACAGAAGCAACAGCACAAAGAGAAGAAAGACTTGTAACAAACCCTATACCAATACGTCTGCTTCTGGTAGAAAGGAGGTTGTGGCCTACTATGCCCAGCGTGGTATAGTAAGTCATAACCTCCTTCCTAAGAAGATACCTATGTCCAGCAGTGGACAATTAAAGGCTGCTGATCATGCATCAACTAGAACATGATGTGCATCAACTAGCTACTTAGATTTGAATAAATCGGTTATCTCGGTAAAAATTAGCCTCTTACTGGCTGATATTGTAGCTTTCCTATTTTTAAAGAATTTTTAAAATCGGATTATTGGTTTAGGCGTGACAACGTAACAAACAAACAAACTCACTTTAACATTTATGAAAATAAGTATGGAAGTATGGATATTTTGCATTTTATGTTATTAAAAGAGCACACCACACACCACACAATCTGTGCAAAATTATAACTTAAAAAAATGTCGGATATGATTTAGGAGCTAGTAGCCTGCTAGATGCTAATAGATTTGGATGCTAATAGTCTGTGAAAACATAAATTATTAAAGTCGATCCGAATTGGTTCCCCCTTCGTCTTAGTTATCTATAAACGCTTCTATATCGTATAGAAACAAAACAAAGATTTAAATTATTAAGCAAAAACTACATAGAACTCGATAAAACCATTTTATTCCACATCTCACATCTAGTACTGAAGCTATTTATTTGGAATAAGAACGGAGGTAGTACTATAAGCAAATATTGCTTTGAAAATCTATTCTCACGGTAAATCTTTTAAAGCATAAAACTATAACACGGATGAATAAAAAGCTGGCCATTGATACAAAATCCTTTCCTAGACCACTCTGTATAATGTTATTCCAAATTTATTCTGTGGCTGGTTCTACATTGAATAAGATTACCATTCATACCGCGAGGTGTATTTAAAGTGACCCTTTTGGAAAATAAAGTGTTTCGCTGTATTGAAAGAAAGAAATAAGTTCTTACTACCGGCAAATGTAAATATTGGTGTGGACTAGTGTTGTTAGTATTTCGTAACTCACAAGAAAAAATATTTTTGCATATGTCATTTTTTTAAGTCGTGACGAAAAGAGTATGCTATATATCCGTGTGTATGTTTATGCTATCATGGCTCCGAAACGGAGGGACTGATTTTCATTCTTTTTCTTTTAATTTAAATATGGCTTTAGAGAAAAAATCTTAGTATTATTCAAAAGTGGCGGTTCAGACGTTAGAAGATAATAAATTCTATTCTAATCATTTAAAGGATTTTTAAATAAACGGAATTTTAAATTTTATTTAGTTACAAATAATGACATGTTTTTTTAAGACTCCGAATCAAACCCTTTACCAAGACATGAATGTGACAGGTCTCTAAAGAATACGCATATAATAACCATGCAAAACAGAAATAGCACTCCTTACTGTACAAAGTGAATTACATCAGGAATCTAAAATTTATGCGAAGCGTATGCATGCCTATGCAAGGTAAAAGGTCGCCCTGGGAATATATTAGCATAAAACAGTATAAACAAAACAATATAAACAAAACAGTAAGGGACAACAGTATGCATAGTTGCCTACAACAGTAACGTTAAAACGTGCGTGCGCGCAAGTCGGCGCATTGGTCGCAGGCACGCGCGGCTAGGTTCCGCATGGAGCTGGTATTTTAGCGGAAGACCAGGATTTTTTATTTTTGTTTGATGCCCCAAGGACCCGGGATAATTAACTAATTATGCTGTTGTCAACATAGTCAACATACGCCATTGTTCAATTTCTAATAACAAGGTTCAACCATTTGAAGATGGTTATGTAATAATATATGTGAAACAATATAGAAGAATATGGAAGAACGGAATATGGAATATGAAAGAATATGGAAGAATTTATATTACTGGAATATATATTTATTTTTCCAAATTCTCTAATTAAGATTTTTGGATATATTCAGCGTCTGAAATGTGGCCACTATATTGGTGGCGTTAATCTCTGCATCCGCGCCGCCACCTTATATGCACAGCGTGGTGAGAGTTGCGCGAGGAATGCCTGATGAACGATTGCGCGTTTTTTGCCACAAGCTCCCCGACACTTGTGTACTTATGTTTTAGGGATATTTCAATTTCTTCTTATTATATTCAAAAGTTTGGAGCAACGTTTAATAATGACTAGATAATTTATTAAATTTCTAACTCTAGTTTATTGTTACATAATTCAACTTATTCACTTTCCAGTAAAACTTGAAATATCACTGTATTGTGTTTCCATACCATAACCGGTCTACACATGTCATATACTGTAGCTTTTTTAAGGTTTGTCATATATATTTTATTTAGTACTGGTACACAATTACTGATGTCATTTTTATCAGTCCGTGTGGTGGATTAAGAATACGGAATGCCACCACCCTTATTCATCCCGTGGGTGTCGTAAGAGCCGACTAAGGCAGCAAACTACACAGGACAACAGCATTGCAAAGAGAAGGAAAACTTGAAACAAACCCTATATTAACCCGTCTGGCCATCGTGGTAGACCAAAACCTCCTTTCTAACGAGAGTCCTGTCCAGCAGTGGACTGTTGACGATGATGATAATGACGGAATAAAACTTGCAAATTAGAATTCTAATGAGCTAGGGCGGTTTTTTAGTTAGCCCAAGTAATGTAAACTTTTAAGTAGATACTCGTAAAACAACATTCCAAATTCTTATTCTTTTTAAATTAAATGTCATTCCCGAAACACTTTTATCTAGAAACAACGAAATATTAAAATTGCTTTTTGGCCAGACATAAATTTTATTTACGTCCAAGCTTATTGCTCTGCAAAGGTCAAGCGAAATTTCTGAAAAAAATAAATACATTTTAATATGAGAATAAAGAGTTTATTCAACTGTATTGTTGTTTAATATTCTACTATTTTTTGTTGGATAATAATTTGTAAAATGTTTTATAGTCTATACAAACTACGAATACAAAAAAGTTAATTTAATATATAGCAAAAAAATATACGATTTGATTTTAAAATGAGAACGTAGGTGTATCAAAAGTTAATAGATTTTTGATGAATGAATGAACAAACGATTATGATTTTACCTGTTATTTATGTAAGTGAAAAAACAAACTAAGTATTCTTAATTTCATAATTTCCTGAGAGCACAGTTTGTTTTATGAAATGGCACAAAGAAATCTGTTGTCTTCCTTGTACTTGGTTGTTCTTAAGAGAGAATATCTCACTCTCAAGAAAATCTGTTTGCTATTTAATAACAATTATTTTTAGCAATATGTAACATTTTAGTATTACATAATAAACACTTCTTGTTTAGAGTAAGTCTATCTAAAGCAAAACCTTGCTTACATACGAAATTTGGAACCGTTTCTTAGATACACATATGATAAAATACATTTATACGTAAAAAAAAATTGTTTAAAATTAATACACAAATGAATGTAATGGTGTTGAATAATTCCTTATTTCAAATAGGATTAAGGTTACCAGTTGAAAAATCATCATGTTCGTTTCGCAGTCACTTACATGCGCAAACAAGCATGGTATTTAGAAGCATGCCGGTGTACTGTGATTGAAACAACATGAAGAGGTTTTGAAATACCTTGTCTCGAACGTCTTGGGTACATGCCGAATAGTTTCAGCACTCAAACATCCTCTCAAGACTAGTTTTGATGCGTTGGCCAATCTCAAATTACTGTGTTCTCAATGTTCTTTATTCAAGAGGCTTGTGTACTACAAAAACGTTTTGTGTGTGCGTACATTTAAATTTCGAATATTTCTTTAATAATCAAAATAGCGATGACCTA